ATTAAAATATGTGTGCACTAATATGCATTATTATGCATTAATTAATATGATAAATAATGTCTGACTCATGAAGGACTACCATTTTTAACAAAAAGTCTATATGATGAATACATCATATAGATTAGATTAGATCAACTTTATTGTCATTACATATGTAAAAGTACAAGGCAACGAAATGCAATTTACTGTAGGTCCAACTAGGAGTGCAATAGCAGCAAGTGCAGGATATAGATATATACAAACTGTCATTAATTAAATGTATCATAATAAATTTTCAATTAACATCTGGTATTAACTAATTGTGTAAATAAATGTGTTAATTATCAAAAATGAGTTATTTAAACTATATTTGCAAGAATTGATCAGTTTGTTTGTAAAAAGGGTTAAGTGTTTTTTGAAGTAATGCTAACAGCCATGCTGTTATAATTCTGATTATAATTAGTACAGAACCATATTCAAAAGTAGTTCACAGTATGTCATAGATATACTGACTGAATTGTTTCCGGCTCCTGATTATGTACCTCAAAACAGAATGTGTATGCTGATCCTGCACAGCGTGTTGACCTCCATTTTAGTGCTGTATTGCATTATAAACACTATTTGTCAAACCCTCCTCCCTCTTCCTCCCTCCGCTCTTCCCTTCATCCAACTTGCATTTCCTTCTATCAGTATGGATATGAGGCAGGTGGCTGAGCAAGAGAAGTTTGACACAGTTTCATTGTCAGATGTTTAATGTGCTGTAATGCTGATGCTGAATGTGTGCATGAATGTTCTGGGCCAAAGTCAGTTTGTTCTGCACCACTTGCTATGATACAATGCAATACAATCTGTAAAATCAAACTGTTTCAGAATATAGTTGTGTTTTTCTCAACCCCAACTCCAATAAAAAGCAACACACCCCATCAATGAATCATATTAATATAACTAATTAATATAATTTAAAATGAATATGATAAAATATTATTCATTTATTAATTTTCCTTCGGCTTAGTCGCTTTATTTATCAGGGGTTGCTACACTGGAATGAATCGCCAACTATTCCACCATGTGTTTTACATAGCGAATGCTTTTCCAGCTGTAATCCAGTACTGGGAAACATTCATACATACACATTCACAAACATACACTACGGCCTATTTAGTTTATTCACCTATAGCGCATCTCTTTGGACTGTGGGGGAAATCGGAGCACCCAGAAAAAACCCAGGCAAACACAGGGAGAACATGCAAACTACAAACAGAAATGCCAATTTAGTCGAGGCTCAAACCAGCAACCAACTTGCTGTGAAGCAACAGTTCTAACCACTGAGCCACTGTGTCACTCGATAAAATATTATTAAAATACAATTTTTTTAAATACAATGCATTAAAAGTAACATTAGGATAATTCATATACAACTTAATAATCTTTCAAAACTTGTAAACACTGCCCACATTACTTTGCCATTTTTCTTTAAAAAAGAACTGAAAACAAGTAATTATTAACCCTCTACCGCATGGTGTTGCCATATGGCAACATAATATTTATGTCCATTTCCCTGACACTGTTTCTTTAAGACCAACGTTCTAATTTTATTGTTGGAAAAAGTAGATCTTTGTGTAGCCAATGATGTGCTTTGGTGAAGTCACATGACATGCAGTGTTTTTCTGTAGTGCAATTTCTGACAGACTGGCGTTTATTGTGAGTAGTTGCTGAATGCAAATGTAAACGTCAATGGAAACAAAGGATCAAATTATGTCAGATCCCCCCCAAAAAATCTGAATCATCACCTCCAGTAAGTTATGATGACATATTCACAACTCAAAATATTTTTTTTATTAAATTATTTTTGTGTAAATCGATCAAATGTGTGTGTGTGTGTGTGTGTGTGTGTGTGTGTGTGTGTGTGTGTGTGTGTGTGTGAGAGAGAGAGAGAGTGTGTGTGTGTGTGTGTGTGTGTGTGTGTGTGTGTGTGTGTGAGTTAGTTAACTGTGCAATAGTGGAATGTGAAGTATTGCTATGAGTTAGCTAGCTAGCAAGGTCAGCTGTGAACTTTTAAGTTGTAACAATAACAACATGAGTGCAATTAGTATAATGTTGATTAGTTTTATGTTAATGGCATTTGCAGTTTGGATAAAATCTAGTTTAATTGATACTACTAATACTACTTTTGAATAGATATGAATACAGGGAACAGTTTATTAGCGAGCACCACCATGTTCTATGGTAAATGAAACAAGAAAAGGACAGAACTGGCTCGTCTTGCAAATGAAAGTGTGGATGAGATGGGTTTAGTGACCATGAGAATGATACAGATTAGACATTTGATAAGAGCAGTGATGGAAACAGTTCAGGTAAGTCAGCTCTGAGGCATATAAGACAGCCGTATAATACGTAGTATAAACATTGTTAGCTAGTAGCTACAGTATTATTCTGATACATTTGGATAGACTTGTTATTTATTTGTTATAATATTACTGGAGAAAATTTTATAAAGTATCTTAAAAAGGATCTTTTTTACAGACCTTCAAGTTAAGCCATTCTAAGAAAAGAAAAACAGTCAAATATTTGTTTTTTAATAGATCAATTATTATGCGTCCAGTAGAGGATTAAATCAATAACATAATTCTATATGTTTGTTTTATTTTGTATAAATATAATGATTATTGAAGCACAGTCAATAAATTTCAACTTTCTTTGATTTGTAGAAAGTTCAAAATAACAGCATTTATTTAAAATAAAAAAAATTTGCAACATTATCATGGCTTTTGATCGAATTAATGTGTTTTTGAAATTAATTTTTTTCTTTGTGTACATAAAGTATGACTGGTTATAGTACTGTCATGGTTCCACAAGCATGTGAAGCAGCAGTGATTTACAACAGTGATCATTAGTTTTTCTGTAGAATAAATAAGCATATTAGATTATTTCTGAATGATCTAATTTCTGATCATGTGACATTTTACTTTTACATAAACTACTTTTAAATTTTTATATAGTTTTAATGAATAAATAAATAAATTTTGAATTGCTGAACTGATGGAAATGACAAGTATAAAGACTGCAACTTTGGAACTGTAAATATAACTTATTGTCTCTCATTAACAAATATTAATTAGCTGAAATTATGTAAATAGCCAAAATCAATATAATAAGCATATTAGACACTATTTTCTGAACAGTAGAACAGGTTGGTTGCTGTGGAAACATTTTCTGGCAGGCTGTTAATCTGGAAAAATCCCAATTCTGTGTGGGATCTGACCTTAAAGCATATTTATAGAAAGATCTATAACAGGGGTCTTAAACTCAAATTGGCGGGGGTGCATGTTACATTCAAGCAGAAGAAAAAAAGTGGAAACCTGACATTATGATGCATCTTAGGACAACAGACATGACGTTTATATTTCAGGCATTACCTGTCACCAGTGATAATGCAAATCATCACATCATGTCACACATCAGCTGCTGAAATGTGGTTGTTGTGTGTATAGTTAAGCGTTAGACACAGTCATTCTTCCACAGAGTATATCCAGTCAAAACTCTATCTTTTTGTTTCTTGCTGTACATATTGAAGGGGTAGTTTAAATTGCTATGAAAATACTACAAATAATTGGTATAATAATTTTTATTTTGTCCCAACCTTTTGTATTGTCCCAGGCAGTAGCGTAAGAGCAGCAGAAAGCAGTTTGGTTAACTTAGGTGACTTATTTTTCCCAATATCTTTCTTTTATTTATTTTTTTTTTTGTAAAACTACAACAAAGAGAGGAGAGGTATGTAAATATTCACATTTACTTTAACAAGTTCAATTCAACAAGCAGTACAATTTTACTAATGTATATAGTTTTTATGCAAATCTTAATAAGTGTATGAGGAAAAGCTATTACTGTAAATGAGACCATTTGAATGGAATATTATTTGTATTCAAACATTACCATATTTGTTACACCACCACCATATTGTGTAAGCCATGAAGTAGTGTTTGTATGACAAAATACAAGTGGGATAAAACTGATAATAATCAAAGGACCTTTGAATATTTACAAAAAATAGAGCTTAAGTAAAAATAGAGCAATTACAGACATGTATTTTAACCTTTGTTCGTACAAGCCTACATTTACCAACCAGTCTCCGTTGGAATGCCTTAAATTATTATAAATGAAAGTGCTTAATGTCTTTAATTCAACAAATCAATAACTTTCTACTGTAGTATAAAAAGGAAGATACTTCAAAGAATGTTGGTAATTTATCAGTTTTAGCAAATAAACAATTTTTACAGAATGGACATGAGGTATTTAACAAAGTGTTGCCCTTTAATTTAAAAAAAAAAAAGATAAAATTGGTTGATAAAATCATTAGAGATTTTCCTTTCTGAGTGAATTATTCCCTCTGACATGCCACAAAGCTAGAATAAAAATTTTGACTCGTTCTTCAAGTGTGCTTCAAATTCAGGATGGTCCCAACCTGATTCCCTCCTATACTCCACACACATTTCTCTCAGGTCTCCTGCATGTTTTACCCCTCCCACCATCCATCCCTCTCGCTTTCTCCCTTTCACTGCAATGAAATTCAGCATGTTTGCAATCTCTCCTTCTCACTTTCCAGTCCATTTCAGCGTGCAACACGATACTACAAGAGCATTTCCAACAATAGAAATCTTCACTCTCCGTAATCGCCGTAAACAAGCTCCATCACTGCATTTCATCGCTCCATCATCTCTGCCTCCCACACACAGACACCATGCAGTAGCATAAATCAAGAGATGTGGGTTAGAATACAGACACACACACACATACACACACAAATACATGCGCACATATACACACACAATGTGACAGCTCAAATGTTTAACTCAATGTTTCCCTTCATCAGCCAATTTTCTTTCACACATCTCAAACATGCAATAAAAATCGCCAGCCACACACCCGCAACCCCCTTCCTGGTGCTGTAATTAACACTCACACTTAATACACACGCTCACGTGCAGCCTGCCAGAAAGTAGAAGAAAAGGAGAGGGTCTTACTGAGGGTTCGGGAGCCGATACATCCCATGGTTTATTCACAAAGGCCCTGGACACCAGCAAGGAAGCGCTAGCCTTTCTCTATACATTCTCTCTTCCTCTATCTCCTTTCTCTGTTCTGGCTGCTGATTCTCTCCACTCATGCTGCTCCCCCCCTCCCTCTCATTCTCTCTCTCTACCTCTCTCTCTCTGTCTGTGCAGTCTTAGCCGGCAAGTCAGTGTTTCAGAAATTACCAATATTAGTACTTAGATAATTGTATTGTACCAAATATTAATCATTTAATGCAATCAAACGTGTGTGTAAACATTTCATTTAGGTGTATTTGTAAACATTTCATACAGAAATTTCATATATGTATATAGACAGATTCATAGTTATATTCATAAGCATATTTCCATTGTTATTGTCTGAATATTTGTTTTGTTGCTGCAAATGTGCTGCTTTTGCACGATTGTAATTATTATACTCCATATATATAAAGTCACTCTCTCTCGGTCTGTCCTCTGACCACTGAACCCAACTTGCATAAACATTCATTAGCGCAATACAGGAAAATCACAAGATCTCACCACAGGATACTCCTGTGATGCTCTCAAAACTTGAAAGGATTTTCTTTATTCTCTCTCTCTCTTTCTCTCCTGTCATTCTGCATGTTCAGGTTCCTCCCTCTTTCTTGGTGGCAAAACACACACACAGGAGGAGTGGCTTTGTTATCTGGAGATCACTGCCGCCCACTATATCACTCATTTTTTTTCACTCTGATTTTTCCTTTCCTTCTTTCCATTCTGACCTGCATATGTGTTTAATTACCATGAGGTGATGGCTTTATCTCTGCCTCTCTCTCTTTCTCATGTATAATACACGCATGCACAGGGATGTTTTTGTCAAGCTCAGTGATGCAGACTGGGTATAAAAGAGGGAGGGTCAATCCGTTTTTCCTTGAGTTCAGCCAGGGAGAGATGGAAGGATTTCAAACAGAACTGTTTAACTGTGAGACTATACACAAAGAAGCAGAATCATATTGAAGAGTAGAAGAGAGTTAAAGAGAAAGGGGCAAAAGGGGAGAGAAAGAGATGTGGGGGATGGATATGAGGAAATTTGGGCAGAAAGAGAGAGGGGGAAAGAAAGAGAGGAAGATGAAGAGAGGGAGGGGGATGGTTAATTCTGTATGTACACAAAACGATGGCTAGACGCAGCAGTCCAGCTGTAATCCACCCAGTCCTGGAGAGTCATACTGTGCTCTGGCTATTTATAGATTAGCATCTTTTTGTGTGTGTGCCTGTGAGTGTGTTTTCTTTAATGTGATGCAGTGTGACTCTGTAAATTGACATGCACTGCTGGATGAGCCAATGAATTGTTCCTGATCAAATTAATTACAGTTTTCTATTTAATCTGTAGGCAATAATATGCTAATTGCTAGAACCGTGAAAGAAGCAGGATATATTCAACCTTTGTGTAACACAAGGGTGCTGGACAACAGAGCTGAGGATCCAAATGCAGGTATATTATGAGAATAGTCAGGTAGGCGAGGGTCAATCACAGGGGCAAACAGAATCATCAAGGACAATCCAAAAAAAGAGTCATCGAAAGCAGCCAAGAGATCAGTTCAGGTGGCCAACATCAAAAAATAGTAATCAAAGCAAAGATTTAAAAAAAAGGCATGGGAAAACATGGCAAGGAAAAATGCTTAGCAATGGTTACAGGCACAACAAGACTCAGCAATGTGTGTGGAAATGAGAGGTGGCACAGGTAATGAATCAATAGCTGCATTTCCACTGTCGGGCCAGTGCGAGCCAGGGCTTTTATCGGGCCGTGCCGGGCCAATCGCCCACGTGGTTGAGCAGTGAGGCTGAAATCATGTCGTGTTTCAGTTGTATAAATTATAATTATAAATTATAAATTGTCGTCATTGCGATGCCATGACTGTTGCGCAGTTAAGTTCGCGGAGGAAGCAATCCGTCTAACCAGATGGTAGCCCTTACGTTTGATGACATCGAGGACCAGACGTCCATTGCTGCATCGGAGGGTGGGCTTTCATTGTCCAACAAGGATCCAGACCTGCTCACCCCCTAAGGGCAGGTGAGTGCTGTCAAAACGGATCCCGAAACGGACATGTTAGCCATGCTTTCCTGGGCTGCTTCGGCCATGGGGTTGGAGATGGTTTATCCTCCAGCTCCGCGGCCGGACCGACTAGATGGGTGCTATGTAGAGGACAAGAGGGCGAAGCCTTCAAAACATCTCATCTTCTTCTTCCCGTAGATGCACAGTAGGCTTGCGCAGTCTTGGAGGGCACCTTTTTCTGCCCGTGCTGCATGTCCCTCCGCCCTCACCACTCTTGTCGGTGGAGCAGCCAGGGGGGTATGAAGCGATTACTCAGGTTGAGCGCGCCATTTCTGCCCTGCCCGCGCACCCGCCTCAGCGAAGCAGGCGCGTCGAGCACCTTGAAAGCAGGCAGCCCCCTGTGCCAATAGAGCCATCAAGTCTAGTAAACGGACCACAAAGCGTCCTTGGGACAGGTCATCCGGAGAAGAGGGAACTTGTTCTTTCCCCGCTGGAGGGCCGGGCCCCATTTCCAACGGCACTTTTCACTGCCATGCAAACATCAATAAAAAAAGAGCACTTTTTTACTTCCCCGAATGTGACAGCCCGAACCCTGCCAGTCTGGGACGCTATGCTTTCCAGCTCGCACGTTCTGTGCATTTCACCAGTGGCTCACAGGCGCTGGGAGGACTGTTTCCTTTCTCTCACCCCTCGACCCCCCCTACGGAGTTTGGGTGCAAGGGGAGAGTGAATCTCTCGGTGAACCCTCGCGCTTCCCGGATCAGCACACCCACTCCACGCTGCCCCACTGCTGGTACGTCAGCGATTGTAGCGATGAGTCCATTAGCGAGGGCTCTGCCTGCCTGGTTAGCGCAGGCCTGCCCTTCGCGGTGGCTCATACGCTCAGCTACGCGATTCAGTTCGCAGAACGGCCCCCCAAGTTCATGGGTGTGTATTTCACCAGGGTCAGCCCCCTGTCCGCCCTGTCTTGCTAGAGAAGATTGCTGTCCTCCTGGCGAAGGATGCAATCGAGCTGGTCCCTCCAGTTGAGATGAAGAGTGGGTTTCACAGCCCTCCCTAATCGTGCCCAAAAAGAGCGAGAGAGAGTGGGTCACAGCCAATCTTAGATCTGCGCGCTCTGAACCCGTCTGCAAAAGCTGCTGCTCAGAATGCTCACGCAGAAGCGCATCCTCCAGTGCGTTCATCCTCAGGATTGAACTGCAGCGATAGACCTGAAGGTCACGTACTGACGTCACCATCAGTTAAAAAATCTGCGGCTTGCGTTCGAAAGTCGAGCTTGGCAATACAAATCCTCCCCATCGGGCTCTCTCTGTCTCGCATGCCCCTTCGGCTCGCGGGCATCCGCATACTCAATTATCTCGGCGACTGGCTGATTTTAGCCCACTCTCGGGAGCAGTTAATTATGCATAGAGACAAGGTACTCCGGCACCTCCACCTGTTGGTGTTTCAGGTCAACCGAGAAAAGGAGGATCCAGAGGATCTTTTCTCGTGCTGGAGCTGGACTCTCCGGACAGCGCGTTCTGCTAATGCTGAACTGTCTGAGAGAGTTCGACAGCAAAATAGTGGTCCCACTGAAATTAGTTCAGAGACTCCTGGGGCATTTGGCATTCACAGCCGATGTCACGCCGCTCGGATTACTCCATATGAGATCATTTCGGGACTGGCTTCACGATCAAGTCCCCAGACGCACATGGCACGCGGGCACACACGGAGTCACTGTTACTGCGCTGTGTCACCGCGCCCTCAGCCCTTGGAACAACCCCTCGTTCCTACAGGCCAGAGTGCCTCTAGGAAAGACGTCCAGACATGTTGTTGTTTCAACAGATGCTTCCAGCACAGGCTGGGGGGCTGTGTGTTGCGGGCATGCAGCTGCGGGCCTGTAGAAAGGAACCCAGTTGCATTGGCATATCAATCGCCTGGAGCTGTTGGCATTGTTCCTGGCTCTCCACCTTTTTTTTCCGGTGCTGGAGCAGCAGCACGTACTGGTCAGGAGGTGGCATATATCAACCGCATGGGGGGTATTCGCCCTCGCCGCATGTCTCAGCTCACCCACTGTCTGCTCCTCTGGAGTCATACGTGGCTGAAATCGCTGCGCGCCATTCACATTCTAGGCAAGCTCAACCGTGCAGCCAATGCACTCCCACGGCAGCCTTTACGTCCCGGAGAATGGAGACTCTACCCCGAGTCTGTTCAGCTGATATGTGCGCGATTCGGGAAGCCCAGTTCGATCTGTTTGCTCCCCCGAGAACGCTCATTGCCAGTTGTTCTTTTCTCTGACTGAGTGCTCTCTCGGTACGGATGCACTGGCCCACAGCTGGCCTCGGGGCATGCGCAAATATGCGTTTCCCCCAGTGAGCCTGCTCGCGCAGTTACTGTGCAAGGTCAAGAAGGACGAGGAGCAGGTTTTGCTAGTTGCACCCTTCTGGTCCCTCTGGCCCAACTGGACCTGGATGTCAGAGCTCTCCCTCCTCGCGGCAGCCCTCCCCTGGCAGATCCCTTTGAGAGAGGACCTACTCTCTCAGGGACAGGGCACCATCTGGCACCCTCGCCCCGATCTTTGGAACCTCCACATGTGGTCCTTAGATGCGAGGAAGACTTGGGTAACCTACCGACTGCGGTGGTTAATACAATCACTCGGGCTAGAGACCTCTCCACGAGCGCGCCTATATACATCCAAATTATTTGCCAAATTATTAATTTGTCAAGGAGTTTGGCACTTTCACCTTCATTCAGATACATTTCATGCATGTCCATCGTGACAAACAAGATAGTGGATGAACCACTATAGAGTGAAGTTTTAATGGAATGTTTAAATACCGCATGGGGAATAGGAGGAAAAAAAACCCAGCATGTCTTAGTAACTTAGATGCATTTTATAGGTAGTGTCAGAAAGCTGTGTGTGTATAGACTATCCTGTCTCAAAATGCAGCAAAAATCCTACACAAGGGTAATAGTGTATGAAGAGCCAAAAAGTTATTGTGAGGCATGAGCTGAAGGTTAATACACCAAACTATATTACATTGAAGTTACCATGGGAAATTTCATTATTTCCTAATTTCCTCATATGTAGC